TATGATTTATTAATGTTTTTTAGGAAGAAGCACATTTTGTTCATTAATATTGCATCTTTTAAATTAAATATATATAAATATGAAATAAATACAAAAACTTATCTGTTCCTGGAGATCTACCTTCCTGCAAATTTCAGTTGCAACCCATATCAAACACACCTGCCTGTAATTATCAAATGCTGTACAGGTCCTTATTAATTGGTTCAAGTGTGTTTGATCAGCCGGCAGCTAGCTCTCTGCAACTCTCACATGGTCGCCCACTGAAGCTAAGCAGGGCTGCGCCTGGTCAGTACCTGGATGGGAGACCACATGGGAAAGCTAGGTTGCTGCCGGAAGTGGTGTTAGTGAGGCCAGCAGGGGGTGCCCAACCTGCGGTCTGTGTGGGTCCTAATGCCCCAGTATAGTGACGGGGACGCTATACTGCTCAGTGAGCGCCGTCTTTCGGACGAGACGTTAAACCGAGGTCCCGACTCTCTGTGGTTGTTAAAAATCCCAGGATGTCCTTCGAAAAGAGTAGGGGTTTAACCCCGGCATCCAGGCCAAATCTGCCCACTGGCCTTTGTCCATCATGGCCTCCTAACCATCCCCATATTCCAATTGGCTTCATCGCTGTCTCCTCTCCACCAGCTGGTGTGCGGTCTGGCGCAAAATGGCTGCCGTCGCGTCATCCAGGTGGATGCTGCACACTGGTGGTGGATGAGGAGATTCCCCCCATTGTGTGTAAAGCGCTTTGAGTGCCCAGAAAAGCGCTATATAAATGTAAGGAATTATTATTATTATTATTATTATTATGATCAGGGTTAAAGCTGAACTCTGTAGGAAGGTAGATCTCCAGGAACAGGGTTGAGCACCCCTGGTCTACATTAATTCTAATAATTATTATACTATGGTCACCAAAAGGGATGCTCCGATCGATCGGCTGGAGATCAGTATCAGCTGATAATCACATTTTATGACTCGATCGTTACTCACCCATCTAGACCAATCTCATGAACTAATCGAAGATGTTTTGAATTAGATAAGATACTCCAGAAATCATGGAGATGAGAGTGAATTAGCAGGAGAACAGATTGCGAGAGTCACGGTGATGTTCTCAGCTTTACATTTATTAGGTCAGATGAATAGCACAGTAAAGTATCTCTAGTGCACATCCCTGTCCCTCTCCTCGAGCGATCAAGTTGTTGTGAGGCTGTCCGCTGCAGCTGTGGTCACAGATATGCTAGTTGGAGAGCAAAATATTAGAATGGCAATGCATGTATGTAGGCCTTTTTACATATAAAAAAACTGAAATTATTTTTTGTAAAGCTGCTTCTGATCATGACATGTCCACACTAAATGGTTATAAGAGACATGTAGGGATTATATGGAACATCCTTCATTTATTCTCTTAGGTAAGGCGAGATCATACTTAGAGGGTGTGCTTTCTGTGCCTTATGCATTATAAAGCTTGAAGCATCAGAATCGGTACTCGATATCGGCCAAACACCATGACAAGGAAGTCAGTACTAAGTATAGGCTGCAAAAATCCTGATCGGAGCATCCCTAGTTACCACACCTAAAGGCACTGTTCAGATGTATTTCAAAATATTTGTCAGGTTTTTGTCCTTAAATAGTAGCTTATGTATGTTAAATTAAATGATGTGGCTTATCTAACAAAATAACTTACTATAACAGTCCAAAAACTAGTACACCCAAATGTTTGTTATAGAAAAATATTAAATACAAATTTTAAAAAGAGGAGAAATCAAGAGAAGCAAAAAAATGAAAAGATTTAGATGAAATTTTGTAGGCTGTCATTTTTTTATTTAACTTTTTTTTTTTTTTTGCAATATTTTGCTTAAATTTTATTGTATTATCTTTCAATTTCTAAATATGTTTGGTAACTAAAATATAACTTTAATAAATATATTTGTTTAATAAATCTGCTTTGTTTAAATGCACTAAAATCCATTGACTATATTCACTGAGAAATGGATACAAATATTCATTTACAAAATAGAATGTACTCAATTTTGCTGAGCACTGTATTTTAAAATATAATTGAATAGATAAATGCTTATTAATATGTTTCCACAATATTAAAATCTGCTTCAATGTTTTTTCTCATCAGTTAAAATACTGAAACAGGACCATGAGGTGAAGGAAATGAAGCAGAAGCTTGCTGAGGCGATGGCTGTGGCTCCAGGTATGTCCTATATGGCCCCGAGGTCCTCCATGCCTCAGTACCTCAAGTTCTTGAACTCTGAGCGCTACATGCTAAACCCCAGAGCGCTTATGTACCAGTGTCTGAAGAAGTAAGAGCGGCAGGGACAAATCCCATGGCTTTTCAATGATTGTTGTGACTCGACATTCCAAACATGAGGGCATCTCTGCTTCAAGGTTTGCCAGAAAACTTTGCCTTTTGACAATGCCAGCCGCCTCTGGTGAGTCTCCGGCTGTGTTTACTGAATTGAGCAGAGGCACTGAGGCCGCTTGTAGGTGACTTTGCTTCAAGCCAAGATTTAATCGAATCAAAGTTGACTGTAAATAAATTGTTGACCAGCGGATGACCATCGAATGCTGAGCAAACCACTGCGAGCGGCGCAAACCGCTCAAGATATCAGTATGAAAAAAACTTGATGAGGAGCACAGTTCGTCATGAGGACAGGATCTCCTGCAAAATGAAGAGGCTCTTCTTCAGCCATGACAATAACAGGCCAATGCCTCACTTGGTCATTCTGTGCCTCATTATTTATGTGAATTCAATTTATACAACAAGCCAATATCAAATGTAAGTCAGTATGTGAATATTCGAGTGCTTTGTACTGTTTTGTATTCTTTTTACATTACACAAGTTAAAACAGAATTGAACAGCACACAAACACACACACACACACGCACACATACACACAAACTAAGAAAAAAACGAAACAATATTTGTAGGTTTTCATGTTTCTGAAACCGTTGCCTTTTTTATGTATCAATGGGATGTTTTTTATGAGAAGTTTATTTTTCTGCCTTGACATAACTTTTTTTTCCTAAACCAAAATTAAATAATGGTTTAATTTTGTAATAATACTTGTTGGTCTGCATGCCAATTTGTGTAAAATGATTGTTTTGGACAAAAAAAAAGAAAAAAAAGAAAAGATTTTGATGTCTAATTGTGCTTTTGTGCAAGGGCTGTTTTCTTCCAATGATTCTGGGAGCAGTAATAAAGTCATTTACAATGATAAATGTGTATTGTCTTAAAATGTTTTTTTAGAGACTTAAAAGGTTAGTTCATCTGTCATCATTTGCTCACCATCATTTCATTTTTTAAACCTATTAAGCTTTTGTTTATCTTCAGAACAAATATTAATATATTTTAATAACATCCGAGAGGTTTCTGTCCCTCAATACAAAGTAATTCAAATAAAACTCAGAATGTATGTTAAAAAAATAAAATAAAAAAATACAACTTCAACTCACAATGGCGCAGTGGGTAGCACGGCCACCTCACAGCAAGAAGGTTGCTGGTTCGAGCCTTGGCTGGGTCAGTTGGCATTTCTGTGTGGAGTTTGCATGGTCTTCTCTGGGTGCTCCGGTTTCCCCCACAAGTCCAAGACATGCTGTATAGGTGAATTGGGTATGGATGTTTCCCAGGGATGGGTTGCAGCTGGAAGGGCATCTGCTGTGTAAAACATATGCTGGATAAGTTGGCGGTTCATTCCATTGTGAAGACCCCAGATTAATAGAGGGACTGAGTCGAAAAGAAAATGAATGAATGAACACCAACTCTCAAAAAGTTAAGATGCTTTGTAAAATGCAGTTAAATTAAGAGAAAATTGATGGAAATCTTTTCTTTGTACAATTTAAAAATAAATGCCTTTAAAAAAAACTGATCCTTTATATGACTGAATTTTGCAAAATGACCCATATTGTTCATAATTGTGGCTGTAAACTACAGCCAAACTTTACAATAAGCTTTAATTGGTTAATGTGTTCTAACATGAATAATGAACAACACTTGTACAGTTGTGCACTTGTAAACTAGGGCTATAGAGTTAATGCAGGTAGAGGTTTCAAGAACTAACAAAGAACATTATTAATTATGAATAAAAACACTTAATTAAATGTGTTGATCATTATTTGCTCATGTTAGTACTTACATACATTTGTACTTAAACCACGCCAAGGTATTCATAATTTATTTATGCTATTGTATGAAATTGGTGGTTGTACAAATGAAAACTTCCGATGCAAAACCTCTAAATGCCATCTAATTATTTATTTTTTTGTTAAAAAAAAAAAAGTTTTTTCAGGCTTACATTTGTAGGTTCAGTATTTGCACTTTTATAGCAAACAATACGTTATTTCCATTCCCTTTAAATTGAAATAACTGAATAAAAACATTGTTGAGAAAAATGCTAATTTTAGAAGAAAAGTTTTTTGCATAACAATCTTCAAATAATACCTAATTAAAGTCACATTTACTATATATAAACGATAGGTAATTTATCGAGATGAGTTTTCAGAAATGTTAACTTACCAGTACTCTCAATTGATAACCATTGCTTTCTCGACTTTCTCGACTCCAATTCCCAAACAAAACTGAGTAAACGGCCTTCATTTGAGTCAGATTTGTACTTTAACGGTCACATTCTCCACAGAATGCCGAGTACAAGAGTCACCATGGTAAAACGCGCCAAAATGCAGAGTTCCCGTTTCTCTCCTATTTGCTTTTATGGAGACATCAGAATTTTGCTATCGTTCCTTTATTTTTTTAAATCCTATGGTAATGACTTACTTTATTGAAATTTTACGAAGAGAGGGAAAAAAACTGATTACAATCAAAATAAACAAAACACTACACAATGTATGTAAGATAATGTATAAGGTTATATTAAAAAGAAAATATTTAGCTTCAAGTTAAATCTAAATAAATATAGGCCAAACAATGAACTTTTCTAAATGTAGGCTACTCAGTAATTAAAATAAAAACAGCTATTTTCAAATGGCACAAAAAAAGGACAAATAATGGAAGTACTCCGAATCTCATCTTTATATCAAGAAATGGTGCAACTTTGAAAACATAGAGGGTTAACAGAGTAAAAGCAGTTATGAGTTTCTGAATATTTTGTATGAGGCAAACTAAATGCTTGAGGTTCTGAGCATTACAGTGTCCTTCTGTTAAGGAAGTCAGTTGTTGTTTTTCTCAAAACATCCATATAAAGGTGTTATAATTTGTTACTCTGGTCTGCATTGAATGTGGTGTGCTTTTTAATAGCTCAGCTATCATTTCCATCTTACTGTCTAAATATTGGAAACCATCTGCAACTTAAACTTTTGAAACAAGCATCACAATTTTTCTGAAAAAAATTCATTTTGAGTCCATATTTCACGCATTATTTCAAATTTGCTGCTTGTAACAGACGGATTTGATGCATTTATAAGGGGTCTGTGGAAATTACTGCCATCAAGAAAAGCACAACTTGCTTATTTGGACTGAAATGATGCTCTTAAATGCACCACTAGAAGTTTAATATACTGCAAATATGCCAAGACATGTTACAGTATACTAGCATGCAGACCAGTTGAAATGGTGCAATAAAAATACAATGTGGTTGTCAGTCCATGGGTCTTTTGAATATGGGATTGATTGTGTCTCTGTTAAAGGCACATTTAACACGTCTGATGCGCTGTAGATCATGTCTGTATACTGAAACTCATAACTGTGTCACATACAGGGAAAATAGACAAATCAAGTGCCCTTCTCTTGGAAACCATTAAAATGAAAACGTACAGCATACATTCACAGGTAATAATGAGAAAAAAAGAAAACAGCCACCACAATGATGAAAGTGAAACACGCTTTAAGATAGACCATACGCATATAGATAAATAATCTGTTTTTTCAATGCTCCGAGAACCCCTTTCCTTTCACAGTCGTTGTAGATCTTGCATTGCAGACCAAAGTTAACCACAATTAATGTGTGCCTTAAAAGGTACAAACAATGTTATTTGGTAATTTCAAAATAACACAGTAACGCATTCCTCTTACAATAAAAAAATGATGAATGATTGAAAGAGTGACTAAAAGAGCATGAAATATGCATGTGATGTGCCTAAAAAGACAAAAAAAAAAAAAAGGTTTTGCTAAAGTGCAAACCAGAAGTAACCGATCCCACACATACTGTAAGCAAAAACTTTCCGAAATACAGCTCGTAATACTGATTTAAATAATAACAGAGTCATTTTTTTCTTCTTTTAAAACAGAGAAGCTACACTGACAGAATAAATGTACACCGGGACCATCGGCCAACACTTTTCCACCACCTAAAGTGGAGTGAAGCGCAGGGGTGCTTTTCTTTTTGAGGCGTCCCCTCAAAGCTCACATACAATCCTTTGAGTGATGAAGCGCTGGAGTCCCGTCCCGTCCCGTGCATGAAGATAAATGATGGTGGAGAGGAGTTAACAGATTTAGCCCACTGCTATGAGGAAACGGTGACCGGATTCAGAGAGCCATTGCGGCTGTAAAATCTAGAGAAGGCCTCCTCTAACACGGTAGTGAGACGTGGCTGATCCCCCTTGAGAGAGAGAGAAAATAAGAGTGTGGAAAGTTGATTAAAGTAAGCTCAAAATAATAATTCTTATAGTTATTGTAATTAGGATTGTTAGTAGCAGTAGTAGTATTTTTTGTAGAAATTTCAGGGTAATTTTCATTCTCAAATAGGGAAAAAAAAAAATAGATATTTTATAAGAGGTGGAGCAAAACACAACTGAAGTGTCAAGAACATACATATACACAGAGACTGATATAGGCATGGGCAATATGGGCGATTGCCCAGGGTGGCATCTTGCTGGGGGTGGCATGCGGAGACGGTGCCCCAGTGAAAGCTATGATATGATTTACCTTAAGCAAGTGTATTAATTTAGAGTAGTAATCCCAGAATAAAGACTATTCACTTTGCCGTCTTTTGCATGCTCAAGTTTGTTATTCTTTATGTGCAACCAAAACATCGCTGGTGAAAAAATTGATGCATGCACGTAGAAAACCATTCCCTCATGCCATGTGTTTTGCTCCTGCTCTTGGTGTGAATCCCGGTTGTTTAAATGCACACGGATAAAATAAACGCCACTCATCCTCTGTGAAACTAAATGCAGCGGCATGCAGCGAATTTTGAAAGTCGAAAAAAATTAAGTTATATAATAATAATAATAATATGATGATGATGATACTTTGACCAGCATGGCAATGAAACAAAGAAGAGATGAGTCAAATCTAAGACTACATAACAATAATTCTCAGTGATGACTTGGGCCTAAGACAATAGATAATTCTATAAAACACATTCTGTATTCTATAGAACTGTCATAATTAATATTCATGCAAAAGATTTTGTTAGTGATCTTAGCATGTCACTCAAGTTGTCTTTACATTGTTTTGCAGTAACATTTAGGACTGATTTCTGTTATTTATTCAGAATAATAATTGTATAATAATATATATATTATTAATAATAATTTTATTTATTTATAAAAAAATTGAAAAATTGAGTATTTAAAAAAAACATTCATAAAGAGAGAAAAAAAGCAGCATCAGGGTTATTACAACTAACTAAAACATATTTCTTTTATATAATCTAAGCTTTAATAAAACATATAAAATATATAATCATAATAAATCATATCAAATCATATAAACATAATAAATAATTAATCTATAAGGTCAAACTGAATACAGAAAAATGAAAAATATGAAAAAAAAAAAAAACTTTCACATTTCAGGTTGCCTCGGTCCAAATGAATTGTAATCTTAGAAAACAATAACGTAAATATTGTTCAACTATAACCATATTGTGTCAGATCAGCAACTTCTCATTAATGAGTCTATGTAAAAGAGTTTTAAATGTTTTAATTTATAAAAATTTAAAGCTTAATAGAAATTAAATCATTCTAAAAAAAATAAATCACACCAAAAAAAGCTTAGATGCTAAATTTGTTAATGCATTTTCCATAATCGATGAGATAAATATTAGATTTAGAAATTTTATTCTATTATTCTCCTACTTTGTCTCCCTACTCTGCATTAACTCAAATACTTCTGCATCTCTTCAATGTGAAATAATAAAATCTACAAGAACTCTAGCTAGAGTTACACAGATGGTACAGCAGAATTTCTTGCTAAAGTGCCAAATCAGACAGATGACAATACTGAAAAAAAAAACTGAGAAAGCCCTTCCTTACAGTCAAGAAACTGACTGTAAGAAACCGCAATGATTGCTTATTTAGGATTGTCAAGAGACAACCACTGTTTTCATGAAGAAAACAGACCGTGAACGGCAGCAGTCTTAATTGTGCTACCAAACAAAAAAGCCATCTTAATACAGATGGTAAAATAACCCCATATTAATTTCCACTACTAATACAGAGTGAAATCCTGCTGTTCTTCTGCTTGGCTCAGAGCTTAATCATTCAGGAATCAGTCATACTGTAGCTTATCTAAAAGTGTCCTCAAGCAACTGAATAATCTATTTTGAATTATTCTGAATGCTAACACCACAACTTGTTTACACGTGTTGTCAAACTTAGGCTGCGTCCGAAACCGCATACTTCTATACTATATAGTACGCTAAAATCACTATGCGAGCCGAGTAGTATGTCCGATAGGGGTGTAACGATACACAAAAGGCACGGTTCGGTTCACGGTTTTGGAGCCACGGTTCGGTACGGTTCGGTTTCTGTTTGCTGTGGGGTTAGGGTTGATGTCATGTTAACAGCAATGCTAAGGGACAATTCACTTAATAACAAGAACATCTTACCTTTTTCTTTATTAACTTTGTCACCGCATTTTTAGTACAGTCAGGATACCAGAGTAAACAACTAGAATTAAATAAATACCTCCAATATAGACTAGTCGGAAAAAAAAACTATTCTCTTTACTGCAGCCATCTTAACTAAGTAAACTAAAATTAAATAAATAACTGCAGTGTAGACCAGTGAAAGATCTTCTTCAAAAACACCATAATATCCACATTCTCCGATGAGAGGCTTGATCTCTGTGCTGACACAGACGCTCATTTTTGATTATATGGTTTCATTTAGATAGATAGGTTTCCGTTTAAATTAATGAAAAATATACATATAATGTGTTTGTAAAGTGTTTTTTCATGACATATTCACCAGTAAAATACATTGCGGTTGTGTCTGAAACTAATGTTAGGGTTGCAGCCGGCTGTATGTTTGCCTCCCGATCTCTCACTCTCTCTCTCTCTCTCCCGCTCCCTCTATGCCGGTCATTTATGTAGGTCCGCCTTCATGAAAGCTGATGCCTGTCATTTCTGTAGGTCCGCCTTTTTAACAGCTGATTGGTCAGGAGACCGACCTATCATCATTTGGCGACGCAGCGCGGGAATGTAAAAAGCAATTCAGGAAGAGCGGGAGAGAGAGCGCTTTTTCCTTTGATCTCGTTTTTCGTGTATTTTTCTGACATGATTATGATTTTCGTTGTTTTTGCTTAACTTTCGCTTGGGTAAAATTATTTTGCATTACTTTTGCCCACTTTAAGAAATTTTGTGAGGTTTGTACATTTTTATTTCAATTGATTTGTATATTATTTTTTAGCTCCGCTCCTTCCCGACAATATAGCTGTATCCTCAAGTTCAGTCTTAGTGTAAGGTGGATAGGGAAAATGTCATACGATTTCCATTTTGCAAACACGTAGAAAATGTATTGTTAAAGACATCAGGTAAGAGGTGAAGGTCATCTTTGTTTATTTTATTCAGTATAGGGAAGAATGCGGCGCACGGCGCTGAAGACCTTTTTTTTCTTTTCATCAGTTTTAGCGAGGTAAGAGGGGTTATTCATGAGTTAGAAGTATTTTATTATATTTATTTCTTTTGTTTGTCTTCACTATCACCCCCTTGTTCGAGTTTAACTAATTTTTGTTTGATACTTTTGTTTGAATTTGTTACTTTATTATATTATTTTATTAGTGTAAATATTACTTTTTTTGTATATTTGGGCATTATTCTGGTTTTACTTTTGTACATTAAATCACTCTTGTTGGCAGTTCTGTTGCTTACACCCTCACATTGTGAAATTACCACACTTTTTAAATGTTTTTCCTTACAAGTAAGTTTCGTGAAACAGTTGAGACAGACAGGCAGGCGCTTTGTCTACGACACAAATTCTATTCCTGTACTCAACTGGAAAACCAAAATGTTTCCACACAGATGACTTAAATGTGTCTGGGGGATCTGCAATCTCAGTACTATGTGAAGCAGCCATCCTGCGTCCAGTAGTAACGAGTGTGATGCAAGTCACATGACATAACATGCACTAAAATACTAACTTTAGAATATAATATTTAGAACAAATCCTCATCATTACTAAAACAATTTAATCAAATATGATATTAAAGATGTGTTTAAATTGGTTCAATTAGTTAGAGACAAGTGACGTCAACCTCAACAATGGGCAGCAGGGGGCGTGACTATTTCGGTTTGGTTTTAATATCGTTACACCCCTAATGTCCGAATTCATAGAACTCGAAAATCAGTAGGGGAGAAGTACCAGGATGACTTACTACTTCCGGCGAGATTCTGAAATGCGCATCCCATGCACGCTGCGCTATCCCATAATGCCCCATGAGAGAATTCATGAATGGAAGTGAGGAGACGCAACTGACGCAGGTAGGTCACGTGACCATGACAAACTGGCGGATGTAGTACGTCCGAATTCCATTCATACTTTTCACATTCATACTGTATAGAGCGTACTTTTTTAACGGCTGAGTAGTATGTTTAAATTCAAATGCAGTAGCTACTGAGTAGTAGGCGGTTTCGGACACAGCCTTAACTTTGTGACAATTGTTTTTTTTTAAATGTCAATCTTCATTGTTCAATCTGGATTAGTTTGATCTTACCAATACTGATCCAAGACAATAACATACCACCAATGAAAGATGAAATAGAAAAGTGGCCTAAAAAAAAGCAGTGACCTCTTACTGGACCAAGCAATAAACTATATACCTCATGAAATATACCAGAAAGAGCTCTGAGGCTGACATTACAGATTAGGATGTGTATGATTTTTTTCAATCCAACGATCATTAAGCATGTACTTATTTCATTTAATCCACACAAAAAATATATTTACAGTTAAATTTGATTCAAATTAAGTACTTTGGTTGATATTTACAAACGTTGTGGTGAAATGACACTAATGACACTATTTTAAAGTATAATTGTTAGTGTTCATGTAGATTAAAGAATCCTTATTAAATAGGTTAAAAATAAAAATTTTATATTTTAAATTACAAACAATTATACATTAATAAGTTTTATAATAAATATATATTTTGAATAAGTTACAAATAAACGCATATGGGTCAAATAGGAGTTGTCCAATTTTAGTGACCACGTTAAATAAAATTGTCAAAAGAATTTAATTATATTGCATGCACATAAAAAGAAAGTAATGTCTACTTCAAAACTTAACGCTTTAGTAACTAAACATAAAAACATGGATTATGTTTTGAAACATGACACTTATGTTGAAACGAAACGACATGCTTGTCCTGACCTGTGCATATCAAAATATAACATGTCATTAAATAATTCTTGTAAATATGCCTGGTAAGATTTTAAAACAAAAACTATTGATAGAAAAACTGAAATTTTGGTGTGAATCTTTAGGAAATGGTGAAAATAAACAAAATACAAATGTTATGTACAACTGGGAAAAAACAAGGTCGTAAAACATTTAAAAATTGTTGTGTTCAGCACATCTAAATGAAGCTTCTTACCTCACTAATGAAACCAAGCTGGACCAGTTCCACAGCCAACTCCTGTACATTCTCATCTAACACACACACACACACACATCATTCTTAAGTTAGTACTGTTTTTGCAATAATTACACATGCAGCTTATTTATTCCACATGCTCATGTTTAGATAGAGTGTTGCGTTTCTTTGATATTATTATAGTAGGTAGTGCTGTCGCCTTGTTTGAGCCTCGGCTGGGTCAGTTGATGTTGTGATGTTGTTGACCCCAAATTATTAAAGGGACTAAGCCGAAAAGAAAATTAATAACTGAATGTCTCTGATTATTTTACTTCTAGTTAAATTGGGTAATTTTTTTTGGGTTATCATTTGTATAAAAAAATATAATTATTTTTGTTTTGTGTTTATAAATATATGCAAATTAGAATTATAAATAATAATTCAGTATAAATAATTCATAATTTATAACATACGTGATGTTGCATTTGTGTCTGCATCAAATAAAATTGATAAATATGATAAAGAAAGCAATCAAATGAAGTGTCCAAATACTAATTAAGTTCTAATCATTTTAATTTTATGAAAATTAGGTGTCAACATGTGGCAATTCTTAATCAATCTGATGCACTTCTGAACAGCTCTAATGCTTCACTGACAGTTCAGAACAAAAACAAGAATGTTAGACCTGAAACATAAAACATAACTATGGTTTAAATCCCTGCTGGATTAAACCGAACATGTACTCGGGTAGCTAGCTAACAGTTTTACCATCTCAGCAAGCTTCTGAGCTAAGCTGACTTGAAAGACAAAACCGACTGCACTGATGCCCATTATAGCATCTCTTGCAGCTGAGAACGCAACACACTTGTGCAGCATTGTAACACGTTTAAGGGCACGACAGAATGTGAAATCCAACTGTGTAGCTGGAAGTGTTTACATAGTTGTGTAGAGTTTGTTTGAGGCCTGATAAAATACTCACTTGGTGCCAAATCACAACTCAAGTGTCGGTTCAGCTTATCTTCCAGTTTTAGAAGTAAGGTCAGCTATAAAAAGAGAAGTGAAGAGTTATGAACGTAGACTAAACCTATAACATCAGCCCAGTAATAAACACAGGGGACACAAAAAAAGAACTTACATGATGTTTCGCTCCTTCCTCAACAGGCTCAATGTTGCACTGCATCTGTACGACCTTAAATGAGAGAAACAGAAAGCGAGCGAGCGAGAGAGAGAGAGAGAGAGAGAGATTATGACAAAACACATGACCCCAAATAACCTAATAATAAAATAAATAATGCTGACTATATCCCATACAAATGTTTATAAAAAGTTCAAATTATGGTTTTATGGATTTGTTATGAAATACAGTAGCCTAGTGACATTTAGAATAAATATACAACCACCACCACAAGCATACATCATTAAAAAAGGAAAATACAGTATATTCTATTACTTCTAAAATGTTAACAATATCATAATAATTGATATAAACATTATTTTATCTAAACTAGTTACTATTTAATTCAAGTTTATCTGTATGGCACTTTTCACAATAATTATAGTTTCAAAGCAGCTTTACAAAACATTATTGCATTACAATCAAATTTAGAAAAGTTAAGGTTATCAATTACCATAACTTTATAAGCTACTAACAATTTTAACTAGTAACTAATAGCTTTTAACAAGTACTATAGCTTTTTACAGTTAACACATGTCAACTGAAGAATTTTTTATCTGAGCTGAGCGTATTTTTTCAGTTGATGCCAATAGAAGCACTGTTTTCAGTACACCAGGGGCCTCATGTACGAAGACTTGCGTGGAAATCTTACTAAAACATTGCGTACGCACAAAGCTGTAAATGTGCGTACGCAGAAAAAAATTCAGATGTATGAAACACTGCGTACGCCGAATCTCACGCATATTCTTTTGTACATCTGAATGAACGTGAAACTGAGCGCAACATGCACGAGCACAAAACCACTCCCTGCCTCCTCCCCCGTATGAATATGCTAATGACTATGCTAATTGCAAAACCCAACGAAAAAGCAACGGCAAAATCAAGCAAAAAGAGAAACTTTGAACAGAATGTGAACTGGAGGTGCTGCTTTCGGAGGTAGACTGGAGAAAAGCGGTGTTATTTGCAAGTTTGTTCTCCGGAATTAACAACAAAAGAAAAAAAATAGAGTGGGAGAGTTTAGCTGATACGGTTAACACAGTTGGGTCTGAACATCGCACTGAGTGCATTAAAAAAGAAATAGTGTGGTTTATATCTGTAAAATGTTGCAGTTCTCTTAGCAGTCTCAGTGGCGCACCTCATAAGAAGCATGTGATCATGTACTGACACGCTCGAGCATAAACTCGGCTCGAATCCAGCGTCTGATAAACTCTTTCTTCTTTTTTCCCTGCTACATATCAGATTTTGCCCACTATTTATCACGAGAAAGACAAGTAGGAATCACCAATAAGTTTGTGCATCATATTTTATTTGCACATTTATTGAATGGTAATGTTTCTGATTCACGCATGCAAATTCATCTTCAGATAGTGTCTTTATAGCAATGTGCGTGCAGTAGATAGCTCAGATTACATTGGGAAAACAGGCGACCGCTGCAAATTGTGCTTTAATGTTTAGCTGGTCAACTGTATGGTATGGAAACCTTATATACCTGCTAGATGAACCTGTCTCATACAGACGCCATTGCAAGGATCAGACACTTTGTAGAGAGGAATTTAACACAACTGCCTCTAGGAGTCGCCAATGGAAATAAAACAGACACGCACAAAAAATGTGCGTACGCCTGCCAGAAAGCTGCCGTGAAGCTGCGCACATTCCCACGTTCAGTTCATTGTTAGTAAATCCAAACGTGAGCAATTCTGAGCGTGAAACCTGGCGTACGCAAAGTTTTTTTTTCCCCAGCAGTACACCAGGAGTGTCTGTTTCACATGAAGCGCTAAGTGCTTTTTAAATCCACAAAAAAATTAAAAATAAAACACACTGTGATAGACTTGTAGACAACTGTATTGTTGGAGCTTAATGTTTCTGCCATTTTCCAATTTAGTGCTGATAAGAATGATAGCTCTTGATTTATTTGGCTTTAAAACTAGCGTAAGTCACTAAGACATTATGGATGCTGAAATAACATTCTTCTGAGCTGATCTCATACTGCTGTTTACTGCATGATGTGAGAAAAATTAAAACAGTAACTGCACTAAAAGTGAACGGAATAGCTTTACTTGCTTAAACCATGGCCTAAAAGAACCACAAGATCTCGACAGTTTGATCTATTAAACGCTTTACTTTTGGAACATTTCTTTTAATGACCCATGCAGCATGTGGTTAGAATGTGTGGTACCTTTTCGTTTAGCTTTTTGTGCGAATAGAATATCAGTTTGTTGTGACTGGTCTATCTACTAGTCAAAAATTATATGCCCTTAACCATATCTGAATTTCAGTAACAGAAGCTTTCTTAGGTAAACCTAGTAATCAAACTGAAATGTTGTTGAGCCCTTGTTCTTGGGAAGGACATGCAAAATGAATTGCCTCTATAACACAAAAACAACAACAGTAATGTTGACAACATAAACCAATCTCTTTGAGGCCTCAAGCTACAACTGTAGTATTTGAGGACTAGTACAAATCCGGTTTCCAAGTAGCCAATGAAGAATATAGGTTTTCAACAAATTTGCATAATTTCAACCTATGTAGGTTTGTACAGGAAACAAGACTGAGATTATTAAAAACCCATTTCAGGAAGTTTGTTCTTTCAGGAGAGAATTCAATCTATCCTTTAAACTATGATATAATAAAATGTAACAAATTACAACACCACAAACTACTGTCAAGGCTAAGTTGACTTGGGCTCAGATCCCGGACGAGCCCCCGTTTGTTACAGCTTAAGAGACAGTTCACACAGATTGCGTTTTTTCTTTCCAATGCACTGCTGTTCTATTGTTTTTCAATGTAAACACACAATTGACAGATGTTTGAGATGTTACCCTAACATCTGCATATGAGCAGTGCGATTTTTAGACAGCGCATCAAGTTAAAAAAACTTTAACTTTCACAAGCAGTGCTGCTCATCACCATCAGTTCCACAGCAGTAGGCATCAGAAACCTCAAAGGCGGGGTAACCATTGCTAGTTTTTATTTACAGGCGCTCAGTAGCTCTGTCGGGATACTCGAATGCGTTATGCTGCGTTTTTCTTTTTAAACCAGCGTTCTGTCTTGCATTTTACAAGCAATGTTTGGTGTTAATGAGCTCTAAGTCTATATGAAAAGTAATGCTTGGAAAAGCATAACAGGTGCACCTTAATTTTCAATACTTGGTCAATGTCTCCTTAAATCAGTCTATTTCTCACCTTCCTGGTCTCCAGCTCTGCGGGCTCAGGCGTGGGTGTTTTGACGGAGGGTGGCACGATGGGGGACTTGACAGCCTCTTGCTGAGGCTGCTGGGGGCAGGGCATGCCGAAGGCAGTTAGCGGATAGATACCATTCCTACATCACAACAAATAGAGTCCCTACATCAGTGTACATGTTTGAACACCGAGACTGCTTTCTTGAAGTTTAAATTTCAGTCCATCCCATTTCTCTCTGTATTAAATGTTTATTTTGCTCACCTCACATCTTCCAAGAACTTGTCAAGCTCCAAGGCAGGAAACTGTGAGAGTCTAATAGCACAAGAGTTTTGACGTCAAGGCAACTTATTTGATCCTCATGTATATCACAAAGAAGCAATTTCAAACAAAAAAACTAAAAAAACAAAACAAAAAAAATAGACATGACTCACTTTAGTTGGTTTTCTTTCCTTTCCATTATAACCTGATTGGGGTCCATGTTCTTGGTTATTTCTTCTAAAGCATTTTCAGGGATCATGTCTAAAAAACAATGGTTTCAATGTGTTTAGCATCTTATTATGCCATCAAGACAGTGACAGTCTCTATAATGACAAAGCTTAGCTCATGACTCACGCTGATGACTGACGATACAGTGTGCAGCCAGTAGTTTTAATTGAGGCACTTCAAACAGAGCTTGATGGAAAAGCAGCTCTCTGGCGGTGGGCCTCTTACTGGGGTCCACCTCCAGACACTTCTGTATAAACTCCTAAAACATACAAAGAGAAACATGAGACTTCACATGTATTATTTTGTATATAAACATATAACACACTAGACACAGACAGCATGTGCGGAAACAAAACAACAACAACAAAAAAAATTGAATAAAAAAGTAATTCATCAGATTATTATTATGAAAAAAAGGATGTGTGTATTTTTTGTAGTAATTTTTAGAGTTGTCAGGTATTGTCTATTAGTGTTACACACAGGGCCTGACATTAACACCCGTCATTTCACCTGTGGTGGGTTAGACAGACACCCCCACTAACCACTTTGGCTGGTTGAAAATAATTATAAAATTGACATTGTGCCTTATAAGTAAAGAGTTCAGTCTAAGACCGTTTGTCAATGATGCGTGCAGCACGACTGATAAGTGATTGCGCAAGCAAAAGAAAGTAGGTGAATATCAAATGAGAGGATGATCATGTGCACAGTGAGAAAAAGGCAATTCTTGCTCACTGACGAGTCGCGCACACAGCTGATGTGATGCACTCGAGTTAATGAAAAGCTCCCGTGTTCCGTTTCTTTGCGTGAAGCAACTGTGCCTGGAAACGCAACTTCTTTGAAATAGACTGAACAAAAAACAGTGCTCATGCATGAACAGTTCTGCTACTTTCAAGAGCGACATTTTTTTGTAAGCAGCAGTGGTTGCCGCTTTTGCTTTAACCATTCTTCGAACAGATTATTGACCCATTAACCGTGTGTGTGCGTTTATCCTTTCATTTTATACGGAATGTTTTTTCACCGGCTTTCTTTTTGTTAATATGGTTTAAGTATCATCCTTAAAATTAACATTGCTTTAATAGGAGATTAACTCTCCATTTTTCTATAGTTAACTGGTGATCTGGGACCTTTAGCCTGGACAGACTGCAGTGTATAGTTTAAGAAACATAAATTTAAAAATTTCGATTGCTTTAATAAAACTTTTGTTGCACAAAAAGTTATATTTTGCTTGTTTTGACCCATTATTTACAATTTGTGGCAAGTAAATAATTAGTTTGGAGTGGCCAAAAAAAAGGTAAATTATAGTGAAATCATGTGAAATAAAACTAATTGCAATGCGACACTATAAAAACACAGCCCATTTGCTCATGCTTATTGAGCAAGGTCACAGCACACAAAAAAGTTAAATGCATGAGGAAGCACAAAATCTAAATCAAGTAATTTGAGCATGCCAAAGTCAAATTAATGCATATTAAAATATATTTTCCCAGCAACATAATTTTGGCTAATGAAAATGGCGAGTGGCTAGTAATGTTGGAAAACTACTAGCCACAGTGGATGGTGATAAAAAAAGTTAATGTCAAGCCCTGGTTACACAATTCATCATATTTCAGGGAGCTGTCAGAACATACATATATGAACAACTTTAAAAGAACTGTGTGACACTAGCTGCTAATGTTGATCTTGTCATCAAAAAAAAAATATTATATATTAAAATCTATTAAAATAAAAATAAAACAACTATTTTTATATTGTGATAAAATCTTATAATTTTTATTTTTTACTTCAATTCCACTTATATACTTACTCTCTGCAGTGGGTCCTCCAGAGACTGGATGGCACTATTAATGGCTTCTTGTGAAACATATGAAGACTCTCCATTACTTTGGATTTCCAGCACAGCCATCTACATCAGTTAAAATGGAAGAAAACCCAAAACCCAAATCATTAGTCAGTCCAATCTCTTCACAAATAATCCACTAATAAACTCAACAACAAAAAAAAGCACTCACCTCTAAGGCGCACATTCCAAAGGAATAGATGTCCACGGCTGTAGTAACATTGGCAACAGCTGAAGTGCATGAGGGTAGAGGACAAATTGTGCCAAATCATTTTCACACTTGTGCACTGAAACAGGAATTAAAAATGCATTTTAAAACCTAGATTTACCTCCATACTCTGGAGCAAAGAAGTGCAAACTCTTCTGTTCCTCCCGACATGTTTTCACATGGTTATTGATGGTGTCTGGGGCCACTACAAAAAGAAACAGAAACATTAGCAACAAAAACAAAACCCATACTAGTTAAACAGTCACACTCGATATGCCTCAGCCCACCTGAGCCGATTTTGATGAGTCCGTTGTGCTGTATGAAAATGGTGTCACATGTCAGGTTCCCGTGGATAATGGGAGGTTCACATGAATGCAGATAGCTGAAGGAAGAATGATGAAAATGAGTAACATAAGCTTTCCATAGGACTTTCCACAAATCATTATTATTACTAAGCATATTAGTATTTGAACAAACAAAGAGATGGAAGTACACACACCTTAAGGCAGATAATATCTGAGTGCACCAACGTTTCCATGCCTAGAACAATCCAACAAGAGTTAATAATCTGGGAAGACACGTCTACTACAGTATGTAGAATGTTATTTTTTCAATCCCAGTTATGCTTTTTTATCAGCATAGTATGTGTTCAGCCTGAGGTTTCCATATTAGAAAAAAAACTTTTCTATTTAACATACAACATACAAGATTACTTCGGGAAGGGGTCACTACTTAGTTTGTCCACAAGGTGTCAACACTGAAAAGAAAAACTACTAATGACAAATAAAGAATAAATGGCCACATTTAAAGGGAATTGTGAGGAAATTAACTCCAACATTATACTCATATAACCTTTTATATGAATATGAATAAATGTTATTGCTCATAAAAGACAATGGATGAAGAATGCTTATAATGTGCATGTGTTTGTGCACATTACCAAAATTAATGTGTGATTAAATTAGTGATTGGTCTAATCAGCAACAATGATGAGACGGCCTACAGGGAGGAGATACAGCATCTGGCCACTTGGTGCACCGACAATAACCTGCTCCTTAACACCAACAAGACCAAGGAGCTCATTGTGGACTTCAGAAAGGGACGAACAGGCTCACAGGATCCCATCCACATCAATGGGATGGCCGTTGAGCCCGTCTCATCCTTTAAGTTCCTGGGGACCCACATCTCAAAGGACCTTTCCTGGACCACCAACACCTCCAGCCTGATCAAGAAGGCTCACCAGCGCCTATTCTTCTTAAGGCAACTGAAGAAGAACCAGCTTTCATCAGTCGTCTTGGTGAACTTCTACCGCTGCACAATAGAGAGCATTCTGACAAACTGTGTCACAGTCTGGTATGGAAGCTGCTCTGTTGCTGAGCGTAAGGCACTGCAGCCATAGAACTGCCCAACGCATCACAGGGACCACACTGCCAGCCATAGAGGACATCCAGAAGAAACACTGTTTGCGCCGAGCACGCAGTATTCTGAAGGACACCTCTCACCCTGCTCACAGACAGTTTTCTCTCCTGCCCTCCAGCAGGCGCTTCAGGCTCCCCCGGACAAAAACCAGCAGACTGAGGAACAGCTTTTTCCCCAGAGCTGTCTCCCTCCTGAACTCTGCCCCCCACTGACTCTTTTGCCCCCCCCAATACACCCCCCAATCTCCTCTAACTTATACTCCTCGCAATAACTGCACTGTTTAACATTTGCACATTTAAAAATTTGCACATTCACTGCACCACCTTGAACTGTTTACTTATTGAACTGTACATACCCACTGCATATGGGCATTTGTAATTATGTAGACACCCACTATAAATATACACTTGTAATCTAGTACTGATTATTAATAGCAACCTGTACATATATTCATATATTGTAACATATACACTTGTAATCATGTTTATTTATCTGCACACTACTGATTATTAATAGCAACCTGCACATATATTCATATATTGTAAATCTGTTCATAGCTTATCCAACCTGTATATAATGTTCATAGTACATCCATCTGTAAATATCACCATAGTTTTCTATAACTGCACTTTATAACTTATTCCTGTATCCTGCACTTGCTGCTATTGCACTGCTGGTTAGATCTAAACTGCATTTCGCTGCATTGTACTTGTACATGTGTAACGACAATAAAGTTGAATCTAATCTATCTAATCTAATCTAATTATACGCAGAAATGCTGTGCGTTCAACTGAGTGTATGCCAGTATAGTATAGTTCAAAATATGGCTAATAGCAAACATAATATCTAAGAATGCAACAAATGTAGAAAATATAAGATAAGCAGGAAAGCTGGGAAATGTAGAATAAGCAAGGAAATAAATGCAATCTATAATTCTTAAATAAAAATATGAATAAAGGGCCCAACTCATACTAAAAAGCCTTTACTTAATGAGACCTTTTTAAGACCTTGGTTATTAATTACTTATGTATTTGATTTTGTACCAAAAACACATTTATAGTCAACTCAGGAATTTAAATATATTTGCTGATCTGGGCAATCCTTGTGGGTAGCCAATTATACCCAACATTTAAGGAAGCATATTAAGTGATTTTGTGAAGTATGTTAGCTCTGTTGTCTGTTTGCCCAATTAGAAAAAAAGCAGCAATCGTACCTTTTCATTCATGGTCTTATGATTCTTCTTTGTCTTCTTTAGAAACTGCTTCAGGCTCCCAGAAGACATGTACTCTGTGATAAAAATAACCTGAAGAGGATGACAAAACAAACAAAATCTTATGATTAAAAATATATATCTAAAAAGAGGACATGGCTCATTTGCTGTTGTTATTGTGTTTCTTACCCTGGCTCGGTTCTCCTTCACATCTGCCCAGTATTTGTGGAACTTGACTATATTCAAATGTTCCAGCTGGATGAGGTTATCAAACACTGCTTTCACTTTTTCCTAGGAAATATAAAAACAGTGGATTTACAACAAGGAAGTGTTGATGAAGCTGTTTGACAGAAGTATGCAACGTAGCATTTTAATTTTAAAAAGATCAGGTTATTATAATACAAAATACATTGCTTTTCATGGCTGTGACTGCATTAGTCACATGTGATTATGGGAAATGCAATCGACAACATAGACGGTAAAGCCTTTCAAAACACAGCCTCTAAAATTACTTATTGAATTCTACGATGAGCGTCTGCCAAGCTGAGCAGAGCGCAGTATGTGGACGGGCCAAACAGATGGCTACCCACTGCTCTACGCCAGGCATTAATGAATCCAGTTTGATTAAAAGCTCTCACAGGCAATGACAAACTGAAGTACGCTATATTAAAAGGAGAAGAATGACCTTATTAATATTTCAGCACTTAAGAGACAGTTACATAACCACAGAAAACACTTTTCTTAAGCAGCTAAAGGCGCTGAGTGAGAATGCTGTTTCCACAAAGTTTTGGCAGCAAACTGGTCAGACCACTTTGTGTAAGAAGCTTACACCCAAGAAACGAAGGAAAACGCACTCGTTCTGTTCAAGCTGTTCTAGTGCTCATTGCAGTCAAATTAGTACTAGTATCGCTAATTCACAGCTTAACTTGAAAGGAAGAAAACAGGAAGCATTAAGCTTGAATCTGCAGCTGAGTATAGAGATAATAATCAACAGACAGCAATGCAAAAAAATACTGAAACCTTGACGAAAGTTGCAATGCAGCTGTAACTGCACACCTCCTTGGACGACGATATAGAGTACAGTATATACTGCACAGTGAGTTGTGCTGATAATTTAATGAGTTAAAGGAACAATTCACTTTTTTGGAAATAGGCTAATTGTCCCCTTAAGTTAAACAGTAAATGAAATGTTTTTTTAATCTATCTTTATGCCCTTAAGGTGAAACAAAGAAAAAGGAGGGGGAAGCAGAAAGTCATGTTACAAAAAAGACAGACAGAGGGTCACAGCAGACAAGCAGAAGCCATGAAACTATATAGTCGATCTCTATGTCTGATAAGAGCCCTTTTAGCTTAGCTTAGCATAGATCTTTGAATTGAATTAGACCATTATCATCTTTTCATTAGCAAGCTTAACTCTTTCGTAGTTATATTGTATAAGACAGATGAAAAAAAAAAAAAACAACACAAAAGATTTATACTTTCTAGGTCGATAATACAAGGAATTATACTCTCATTCTGGAGTAAAATTCAATTGACTTTGGCTGCAGCAGGGGCAATTACATTATGCTGATTTTAGCTGGGGACTATTTTCAGGCACTACATAATATTATTGCATTGCTGCAATCATGGCATGGTAGCAAAGTCCCACAATTATTACGCCAAAATGAAGAGTTAAGCTATACTGATCTAAAAATTAGCAACATTTCAATTTCTGTCAGTCTTTAAGGATGGTGAAAATACAAAAGATTCAAGTTTTATGTAGGAAAATTATCAAAAGTCTTTTTTTGAGCAAGATGCTAATGGTCTAATCAAATTCAATGATTTATGCTAAGCCAAGCTAAAAGAGCTCCCGTCTGACCCAAAGACCCGCTGAATGAACTTAAAAGTGGTTAAACTCAACTTTAAATAAGGTTAACTTTAAATATACTATTGCCTAAATCTTAACATGGCAGAGATGATAATGTTCATGTTTAGTACATTATATTATTTTTATTATAATTCTGAAGTTAATTGAATTTTGAAAAATTGAAATCTGTGTTGGCATAATATGATAAAGTATGTTTAGTTAGCTTAAATTGTAAAATAATGAAACTCAGTAATTTATTCTAGTTATTTATTTCATTACTTCAGTGTCACATGATTGTTCAAAAATCAATCTAATATGGCACTCTGGCATTATAGTGTTTTTTCTTCATGATGAATATTGTGGACAGCAGTTGTGCTGCAGTTTAATATTGTAGTAGAAACCATAAAAAAATAAAAAAAAAACAATAGGCGGAATTTATTTTAAATTTGTAATGTTATAAAGATCTTTACTGTCACTTTTGCTCAAATGTATGCATTCTTGCTGAATGTTAAAAAACCCTTCTGACCCCAAACTTTTGAAAAGTAATGCTTGTTTGTCTAGATTATTTGTAATAACTTTGTCTGTAAATCCCTCATATCAACATGACGTCATTTAGGTCATGCAGGCTACTGGATAATGTCAACATGGTTATGCTGGCTCTGTTTTAGCATACTTGAATTTGATCTCTGTCTAATGTGGTATGTAAATACTGGATAAAAATCAAGCCATACAGCGATTTTTTTCCTGATGAATATCCCTTAATTTCACCCGCTACTGGCTTCACAATTACCTAAATCTTTCTCATAACAAAAATAAGGCAGGCACAGAGTCTGCAGTTTTACCTCTTGTAATTTGAAGTTCTTGCGCTCAGAAAACATGACCTCATTCCACACCACCTCCACACCTTCTTCAGTGTCCATGGCAAGATAAGCATTGTCGATACCTGGGACATTTCGCTGGTTAACCTGTTGGGGGTAATGAATGTTTCATTTAAAAAACAAGAATGTCATTCTTGTTCCAAGGCTACGTATACTACACATTCTCTAGGCATATGACAGCAACACATTTTTTGTGATAAGTGCTGAAGATTTTATCACAACATTAGCAAAAAAGGGTTACTTTAACAGGTGTAATAAAAATAACATTTTTTGTACTCTTCTATGCACACATTTTCAGGCCAAAATAAGGTAACATTAGAAATAAGGTCAATATTGTGCATATGTAATATGACAGAACATGATATAGTTTAGAGGTGTGAACCTATACTGGTCTCACGGTTCGGTTACGATTATCATGCCTTCGATTCAGTTCAATTCGATATTTCGGTGCATCACGGTGCATTGACGATGCTTCCCATATACAGTGTTATATTTTAGAGGAGAGGCTATAACAAGCTGTCTGTATAAACACACAGAGACACAGCACCACACTGTCTCTCATTCAAACACAAACATAGAAAGCACCAAAGAAACAAACACACGCGCCCACACACACACACACACACACACACGCACACACAAACACGCACACACAAACACGCACACACACGCACACACACACACACTTAAGCCCTCGCAACAGGGAGAGCTCGCGAAGAGCGGAGCAGAAAAACGAATAAAAAAAAAAAAGCACTTTTCTGACGGTCCCTTACTGAGAGCTCCTCTCAGCGCGAGCTATCCTGGCTAAACACATATTGCGAGGGCTCAAACAGAGCAGTGCTCGTAGTGTGGAGCAAAAAAAAAGAAAGACAGCTGTGAAACATAACCAGCTTTGTCTTTTTGTAGGAAACACACTTTAGATCTTTTTAGGGTAAGAGGTTTTTGAGTTATTGCCGTCTATAACTGAATGTGTGTCAGAAATATCGAAAAGAAAACCAACTGAACCGCGCTCCTTTCTGGCGCCCTCTTGGATATACAGCGCCCTTAGCATTTGCCTATGGTGCATACGCCACGGACCGGCCCTGAGTTGGCTGAGTGTTGTAAATACTCGCGCTCACCTCCCTAGCGACAGAGAGCATAGGAGATAAATGACGTCAGTACATAATAACCGGTTATGATTATTACTGAACCGATACTGAATTGTCCGCGTCTGCATCGCGGTGCACCAAAGAAACAATTAATTTTGACACCCCTAATATAGTTCAAGTTGTAAACTTGTATTTTCTTATTATGTTATTTATATTTTATGTATTGTCACTAATAATTGTTTGTAGAGCAAGTAGTTTGACTGTCTGCAGTCGTTTATTATTCCTAGTCATTTCCACATAGGCAAACAAATCAGAAGCTTTACTGAAACAATAGCAGAAAAGAGCTTACTTCCGCACTGAAGAATTAGGTCAATATTGTGTCACTGAATCGTATTGAGTCTAATCATCTCTTAAATAAAAATTATAGGAAAACACAATTGAGCAAAAAAAAATTATAATAATTATTTATTTATTAATAATTATAACTAAGCAACAATGATCCATTGTTCAAGCAATATGTATACATGATGTACCTCTTCTCTCCGCTTCTGCCAGCGTCCACACGGGCTTTCCTCCAGAATCTCAGATTCATCTTCACTCTCTTCCTCCTCATCCTCAGTAGCAGACGGTGCAGGCTGTGTTACTGTGGACACCGGTGGAGACACCGATGAAACCCCCTGTCCTGCAGGTGGAATGGCTGTGGACTCAGACTTCGTGTCCATGGTGGACGCAGGGGCAGGTGCGGCACTCTGCTTTCCTTCTTCAGACATAACTGACTGACAACTGACAGCCCTGTCCTGAACCGCCACACAAAAAGAGGTCTGGCTGACTCACACCTCGAGGGCAGGAGGCAGAGAGCTGCAAAGTCAGGAATTGTGAACTTAGCACAAACAGATGTAATGGATGCTTAATCAATATTAACTTAAATGAGTTGTCATGAGAAATTTAAAGATTCATTCTTTTTTAGAAATGAAATTCAGGGTTTACAAACTTAAGATTTTTTCCCTCTTTAGCATCAGCAAGAAGTCTAGAAGACTGCAGTTTTAAAGCACACAAATATTTTATAATGTTCATTTGCTATATAAATTCCCAGGACTTGTACAGTATCCAATTGATTTTCCTAATATCTTTAAGTCTTCCATGAATGTTTAAATATACGTCAATCTTTCAAGTGGATGATCACCTTTCATCAAATCTATTGTTTTACTATTGTTAACACCTATTCTTGCTTTAAGGCTAAAATAAAACTTAAATTTCACTTGAAATGTTGTGTGTGTGTGTGTGTGTGTATATATATATATATATATATATATATATATATATATATATATATATATATATATATATATATATATATATATGTTAAACTTGGAGTGTGCCTAATCTTAAATGAAAGAAGATCTAGTTAAATTTGGATTTAAATATAACTTAAAGCAGCAGGAACTGTCTGCTTGTAACGTTAAGTACACCTTCGGTGTGCGCTTTGTAAGTTTCAACTTCAAGCTGAACACTAAGGTGATTTGTTTACCTCATAACAACTGGAAAAGTCAGTAACAGCTGATAAAGACTTTATGTTAGCGATGTTGACATGTTACTCCTTAGAAGACTTCAACTCAAACAAGGCCACAGTTTATATTCAAGCATTATGAATAGACTACAGTCAAGTATTACAACTCAACGATTAAATCCACCATGACAAATACATCATACAAACGCAATGCTGAATGTCTTACTTGAGTTTATCCTGAGATGTGCGGCGTCGCCAGCTCGCCGGAAGCAGCTAACCGTCGGTAACCGTGGACACGGAGGAAGAAAATCCACAGACAATGAGGGGAAAACGAGGGATCCGCAAACAGTATGGGTGTGTCTAGAGGTCCAGCCTTTGAATGGAGATTTACAGATCCAAGAAACTCTAAAACACGAAATGACCCGCAATTGCGAGAAAAGCTAGCGGCGCAGCTCCGAGGCCTCCGGAGCCTTCGCGATTAACGTTATTATAAACGAAAAACTGTTTCCTCCTGTAGTAGGTGTTAAATAAAATAATAAAAGATCAAAACTTTCGGTCCAGTAAAGACAGCTAAAACTGAAGCACAAATACTGCTGGCTGTCAGTTTTGATGCGTTTTGTCGGCTAGCCGCGGATGCTACACTCCCCGATATTCGAGTTCTTCACTAAAGTCTTCACAGAACGCTGCGTTTCTAGCAAAACACTAAAATAATTCGACACTAATAGACCTAAAGTAATTCAACATCAATAACCCTGAAAAGGCTACAGGTAAATGCGACAGCTCCGAGTTTTGCGGTGCGCTGTTGCTTGTTCCTGTATGAAACACCTCCGTCGTTTGTTAAAAGCGAGTGCACATCAGGACCAAGTTTACACAGCGCCATCTACCGGAAAGAATATTGTGCTGACACCGTCACCGATTTTACCCTCAGTGACCTCAAAACACACTTCTGTTCTTTCTACAGAATTTCTCCATAAATTATGGAGAATATTAGGTAAAACAAACAATACAAAATCATTTATTTCATAAAATTATTAGACACACATTAGTATAAAGCAAACATATACATGAAAATTACATTATTTAAATATTCATTCATTTTCTTTTCGGTTTAGTCTCTTTATGAATCAGGGGTCGCCAAAGCGAAATAAACCACCAACTTATGTTTTACACAGCGGATGCCCAACCCATCACTGGGAAACACTCATACACTTCTGTTCACACACACACTACAGTCAATTATGTTTACCCAATTCACCTATACTGCATGTCTTTAAACTTAGGGGAAACCCACGCAAACACGGGGAGAACATGCAAACTCCACACAGAAATGCTAACTGACCCAGCCGAGGCTCAAACCAGCAACCTTCTTGCTGTGAGGTGATTGTACTTCCCACTGCGCTACTGTGACGCCCATCATGTAAATAGTTAAATAGTGATGTAACTTAATTATTTCATATTCAGATAATATTTTAACCTCATTAATAAAACTTTTAGTTACTGGTTAGACATTATTAATTGTTTACATTTGCAGTACTCTAAATACATTGTTTAATATTGCATAAAAGAGTTCCAGAATTATGGTACTAAAACAGAATATATGAACAATTTGTGCTTGAAACTTGAAATGTATTACAACTTAGTGTAAACCTTTAAAAACACCCATGAAGGAGAATTTACTGTTTAATAGCTGCTTATCAGCAAACAATTGTAAAAAAATATATATATGGATAAGTTGTGCACAAGAGTTTTACTTTTACATGTAACAGAACTTCTGTGATTCCCATTATCCACATTGGAAATGTCTGAGGTCACCATCTGGGAAACGTGCCCCCATTAGACCGGCAGAAACAGAGAAACCCTCTCGTCCCTGTAGGAGGCCTATAAATAGAATTAGCTTCTAAGAGGAATGGAGAAAAGTTGGGTGGGTGTAAGTGTGCAGGCAGGCAAGCATATGTGAAGTGGCGTGCAGCATTTGCCTTACTGTGAGTGTTTATTTGTGTACATGAGCAGGGGTGTGCCTTCAACACAATATAAAGGGACTGAGAAGTGAAATAAGGACTATAGCGCTGATAAAATTGACCTACTTCGGATACTTTTCATTCATCGCACTTGTGGCATCTGTCATCAAAGAGCAATATGGCAGAAGAACAGAAGTTTTCAGAAACATCTGTCCAACTCACTGAAGCTGCTCCGCAGACAGTGGGCAGTGGTTTTACAGCCCCTGGAAACATTTATTCAGCCATTTTGAGCCGTAATGAGGCTGTTAAAGATGCCAGGAGGCTCAAGGACTTTCAAGAGCTTAGAGATAAATATGTACGCAAGAAAGTGCTGTTTGAAGACCCCCTGTTCCCAGCTCAGGACTCCTCTCTCTTTTACAGTGAAAAGTTCCCCTTAAAGCTTGAATGGAAGCGTCCAATGGTGAGTGACCATGCGTGAGGTGGCAGTGTGCATGGGGTCAGTTGCAGTGTATCCTGTTAGGTTCATTCAGTTTGATTGAATGTCTGTAGGTGTCAGAGGAATATTGAAGTTGTATGTTTATAGAGGTAGACTTGAAAATGTAGGTATCAGGTGTAGTCAAAATGTGTCATTTCAGCTGAAAATACCTCACTGATCCTATAATATGAATGCCACTTTCTGGTTAAACGCAAAAATCCCTCTGTTTTCATTTGTGTCTTTTTCAATGCAAATGAGCTGCTCCATTTCAGAAGAGGGATGTGCATCTTCACCACAAGAATGATAAATGAAATTAATATTGGATGCGTCCCATATGACACAATGCACTATGTAATGATACTCAGTTGTTTATTGTGTGAATTTTGATTATCAGTCACCATCAGAGTCTGAAAGCCCTGTAGCCTTAAATATGTAATTACAGCTGTGATAGTTAAGCGCACAAAGTGTCTAATAATCCATACAAACTTTTTTGACTGATTGTCCCATTTGCAGAAATGTCAATAACAACAGAATCACACTTAGAATATTTTATGCTGATGAATTACAATAGCACTGACAGCCAATCAGAATCTGCTTCAATGAGCTCAAGTATTTAAAGTGACAGATGACTGAAATGTACTCTTATAATAACATTAATTCATGGATATTAAAGGTAAAATTATAGTCTTTTTGTAATGATAATGCTAAAAATGCAATTCTAAAAATCATTTTGGGGTGGCACGGTGGCTCAGTGGTTCACCTCACAGCAAGAAGTTTGCTTGTTTGAGTCCCAGCTGGGTCAGTTGGCATTTCTGTGAGGAGTTTGCCAATTCACCCCATGATCATGTGAGTTTCCTCCAGGTGCTCTGGAGCCAAACAGAACAGCCAAACAGAACTTATCATGAACTTGAGAGACAGATGTCAGAACTGAAGCGTCAAATTGGTGTGTGTAAACAGTTCTTGTTTTTAGGCTTAAGTTTATATTGTTTTTAACTGCAATGCTAATAATTAGAATACATTCTAAAAGGGATGGCATGGTGGCTTAGTGGATAGTACTGTTGCCTCACAGCAAGAAGATCGCTTGTTCCGGCTGGGTCAGTTGGCATTTCTGTGTGGAGTTTGCATGTTCTCACGTGGGTTTCCTCCTGGTGCTCAGGTTTCCCCCACATTCCAAAGCTATGCAGTAGGGGAATTTGATCAACTAAATTGGCTGTAGATTGTGAACGGGAGTGTGTGGGGGTGCTTATTTTTTAATTCTAGAAATAATACAGTAATCACAGTTACATCACAATGACACAGAGGAAATATATTGTTAGAATAATGTTTTTTAAAAAATATTTCTCAGTAGAGAAATGCTAAAAACATAGGAATTCACACGGTTTTAAAAGCTTGAGCATTTAAAATAACAATGTGTGATTATAAGGAGTGCATTATTGTGTTTTACTGTGGGTGAAAATATAACAATAGTTATGATTACCTTTATAGGTATTGATAAGTTAAAACTTGCACCTATGACATGAGAATGTGGCTGTGTTCCAGTTTGGGTTCATGGCTGTGGTTTCGCAGCTCTGGACTTTCAGGCAGCTGACTTTCCAAATCCTGCTATGCTGTGTGTCAATGTTTTGTAAAGCAGAGCTCCACCTGATAATAGACTTGTTTGATTATGTTTGATGAGTACTTATATTTTCAAATCATTGTGCTTCATTGTGGAAAAAGGTTACTTATATTAGTGAAATGTTTTTCAAACTAAGAAAATATGGTTATATTTAAAAAAACGATTCATTGAAAGGAACCCAAAATGGTTGCAATGTTGTTGTTGTTTTTTTTTTGGCATCACTGCAAATTTTTTATGTTGTTTTTTTTTTGTCAGTACATCTCGAGTAACTTATAAAAACCTGACCTATCTGTTTTGAATGATGCATAACATACTTTTACAAGCTTCGCTATGATGACTCAGGTTACCGGAAGCTCCAGTAAGTCTTTAGTCAGTAAGGCCCTTGCTAGCTCATTAAAACACATTTTTGGATGGTGCTTCAAAAAGACAATCTTGCAATTTCAGATGTGTTTACGGACACTTCAAAAATAATGAGAGGGATAATGTGTCTCCATGGAATCACATACTGTACATTATCCTGCTTAGACATGCTTCAAGATGCAGCTCATAAAGAAGCATTACTGAAGTTCCGCTCAGCAAACTTAATGACCCAGGACAGCTGCTGGATTTCTGTGGTTGAAGTCTGCACATACTGTCATATTTTGTTTTGTGACTATAGTAAAGGTCTAACAGTAACTGTTCTGTAAAATATCACTATAACATTATTACTGTAACATAATCATATGTGTTTTTCTTCTCTGAACAGGAAATTTGTAAAAATCCACAGTTCATTCTTGGAGGAGCCAATAGGACTGACATCTGCCAAGGAGACCTGGGTATGGAAGTGATACAGTTAAAGTCAGAATTATTAGCTTCCCTGTTTATTTTTTTTTCCCAATTTCTGTTTAACGGAGACAAGATTTTTTTCAGCACATTTCTGATCATAATAGTTTTAATATCTCTTTTCTAATAACTGATTTGTTTTATCTTTGCTTTGATGACAGTACATAATATTTTTACTAGATATTTTTTCAGGGCACTTCTATACAGTTTAAAGTGACATTTAGAGGCTTAACTACATTAATTAGTTTAACTAGGCAGGATAGGGTAATTATGCAAGTTATTTTATAACGATGGTTTGTTTTGTAGACTACTGAAAAAAATGCCTAATAGGGCTAATAATAGTGTTCTTAAAATGATGTTTAAAAATTTAAAACTGTTTTTATTCTAGCCAAAATAAAACAAATAAGACTTTCTACAGAAGAAAAAATATTATCAGACATACTGTGAAAAATTTTCTTTGCTCTGTCAAAAATCATTTGGGAAATATTTAAAAAAGAAAAAAATCAGAGGGGGGCTAATAATTCTGTCTTGAATAAAAGTTGGGTGTTCATCAGCACTGGGTTGCTGCTGGAAGGGCATCTGCTGCATAAAACATGCTGGAATAGTTGGCGGTTCATTCCACTGTGGCGACCTCTGAAATAGAGACTAAGCTGAAGGAAAATGATTGAATAAATGAATTAGTTTGTATTTTTGCATACATTCAGATCCTTAAATGGAGTTTTTCAATATCTCAGTGTTTTAGTATGTTTGATGCCATTTTTTAAAGAAAATAAGAGGACCTTTAAGACCTTTAAACATACAGTCTAAAGTATGTTTTACAAAATTAAAGCTGAATATAAAATATGAAGAATACAGAATATGAAATATGAATATAGTCTTTAAGCCTGAAAAAAGCATTTAATCTCTGATCCATATTTTGAAATTTGCATTAAACAAAAAGGTT